CTGTAGTCGTCTGATTGAATAGCCACGGCTCTCTACGATTGGAATCCGAGTGCGCATGAGCGCGGAAAAATGGTTGAAAAGCGCCGGCTTGATACCTGTAAACTGAAACTGCATAAAATTGTATTTTTCTACAATACCAGCTTCTCAACCTTTATCGGATTAAAGGGATGCAAGAGCAATAATTCTGTGAAAAGAAAGTTGCGTTTTTTCACCACCGATTTTCATTAATGTCTTCCAAAACCCTTCACTGGGTGGTAGATAGACACGAGCCAACACCTTCAACAACGCTGCTAAAAACAGCTGAAGCTTGTTCTATTTGACGTGATGAAAATTTTTCCGGAGGTTACAATACCTGAGATGAGATTACGGCATCAGTTCCTATCAATCAATTTTGATCCTTCGTTGCTGTTTCCAGGTCGTTTGCGCCTGAGTACCTCTTTTAACGCTCTTTTTCTATATGCTATCACGTTGCCATCAATATGACGCAAAGCCCTCAGAATGATCAGTGTTAATTCGCAAATTCAAGTCGTGCTTTTCTGTGGTGGTCTGCAAGCCTCAGAGCTCTCTTCATTAGTGCCCTGACAATGTTGCTGCTCCTTTTCGCGGCTTTCTGCACAGTAGTTTTTGACACGGAGAGACCCAGTTCCGATCGAACTCGGTTCCAAGAAAAGTGTTCTTCACTCGTCGCTCTCGTTTTGCTTACGCAGGCGTCCTACCCCTGGGAGGCTGTGAAGACATCGAAAGTCTGAACGGAGCTGAGGGTCCTCCCGATTGACCTCCAATTGCCCTCATACTGAGCCCTGTGTCATGAATGAACCAAATTTGGGCAATTTTTTTTCGAAGGGAGGTATAGAATGAGAGGCAAAGTGGATGAAGCTTTTGAATAGATTCGTGTCACATTCGCTCTCCTACAGATCTCTCCGAGTGCGAATTCTCTTGCACTCGATTTCGGGATCTTCGAATTCTCGAGGGTGACCTCAAAATTATGAAACAAAGAGAAAATCGTAAATAAATAAACGTTAATGTAAAAGTTGAGTAAGTCAAAAGTGTGTATAGGGATTGCTGAACATGATGAACCTGATGGTGAAGCTAGAGAGATATCTGATTGGCTGCTTACTCTACAATGACACTATACTTATGTTATGCATTCATCCCAAATTCGCCCTCGAAAGCCAAACTTCCCTTCTCTCCAAGTCGGTTTTTGGTAATGACTTGCCTGGGAGGATAGAAACTTCATCTCCCAGAGGAAGTCCCGAGATTACGGGCGCCAGAATTCAGGGATTTCCGAGGCAGAAATGATGTCTTGATTTCACTCCGTTCGCCGATAATTACTCGCACATGTTGGCTGTTTGCATTTGTCATTTGTTCGCATTTGTTAGCAATCCGCATAGTTACTAAGGTGAGACTTCTCATATCTTCGAGATTATTGAGGCCAATTCAATGCTACATGCAATCGCTCGCATGCAGTAGGCGGAAGAGCAGAGTAAAAATTTTATTGTGACCAATGACTGGACGGCATTAATGATTGGACGGAAGGCTACTAAACGATGCGGAAAAGCAGAAATAATCAAAGACAAACCTAGGAGAGATAGAAAAGCCAGTGTTTTCAGAAAAGGACTATTAAAATAGTCGATCGTAATATTGGTTACTCATCAGAAGGATAGCAGCGAAGCAGGACTTATAGAGGTTATCGATGCGGCGGATTGCCAAGCTGAAGCTTAATTGCTATTGCTATCGTAAACTGAAATGCCACTCCGTTTCCGATTCCAATAGGTATTGTAGGGTAAAAATTCAGAAGGTTCCTTTTTAATCCAGAAGAAGCAGCGTCACCACGTCGTTTCCTGTGACAAGAGAATATTCACGACGAAACGAGCTCTCGAGAATGAAAATGATTAGGTACTGCATAAAAAAGCAACACAAAAAAAGTTGTCATAGGCACAGCAAACTGGTACCTATGTAGGAGTTACGAGCAACGGTAAAACTTGTGCGCTCGAAAAGTACATTGGATGCACTGACGCAATGGTCCTACCCCGCCTTCGGAGAAATTAAAGGGTTCAAGATCTAGAGAGGAGGATAGCCATTCGGGCAAGACGGTGCTCCAGCACACAGAAACAAGTTCACCCAACAGTAGTGTCATTGCCAGCTGCCCGACCTCAAAGCAGGAAGGAATGAACATCCTCCCCTCTAGAACCAAACCAGTTTGACTCCTCCGTATGGTCCCTGATTAGAAGAGAACCTGTCTGGTTCGCAGTCCCAAATTGGGGTACTTGAAAGCGATTCTCGAGGATGGCAGGGAAGAAATGAACGAGGAATACCTGCGTGCCACACGCAAGGAATTCGAAGGCAGACTTTGGTCCCCCCTCTGTGCCAATAGGGGCTATTCTGAATTCTATATGTAGCTCGTTATTGTACTAGATGTAAGCAAACGTGCACATAGATTCCATTGTTGTTCCCAGTGCTACTCTGATTATGGGTGGGAATCGAGCTTGAAAAGCAACCCAAAAACGTGATCGACGACAGCGAAAAGACCATTCATAGTATAATCTTATACAAATAAGTGAAGAAAAGATAAACACTACCCAGAGCAAACACTTACGCCTTCGATAATTCATATTCATGCTTTAAAAAATGCTTGCGAAGTCGTGTTCAATTTACCAACGAATGAAACTCAGGGAAAATTTGGTTATATGAACACCAAACTTCCGCCGATACCTATCAAAAATATATAAACAGTAGCGCCGTTCGTGCAGTACACATTTAATCGAGAGTCAAGAACCTTGTATACAGTATGTGGTGCTAGACATCAAACAACATGCTTAAACTAATCTGCCGATGAGCGTAACGTTTTTTAGCAACGACATGGCTACACGAAGAAGTTCCGTCGCAATGATGAAGTTGGAGTTCAACATTCCTTGGTATTGAATTTGATGCGCACTTCCGCAAATAGATAAACATTGACGTGGTATGATGTGGTGTCAGACCAGAGAATGTTCGTAATAGGAGTGGATGACTTGCACTGAACGCTCATAAGGTGCCCTAGACAGCATCAGTCACTGAGCCGAGTGCGAGCTTCATGCTACTCTCGGATTCTTGAAATTTTCGTCTGCAAAGTAAGGCGCAGTTGAATAGAAAATAGTTGGTGAGAGAGACTGTCAACAACACGTGCCAATAAAGTGCGAGAATAATGAGGTTTTCTCAAAAGGTTGACGATTTGTGGGCAAAACTCCAGTCTCGGACGGGACTCGAACCCGTACTTGTCCTTTCCGGGGGCCGTGCTCTTATCCCTTGCACTACCGAGATCCCTCTTGCCCTCGCTTTCTTAATGGCTTATATGCCATAGCTTATCAGCACTCCTAAGCCATTAAGAAGGCGAGGGCAAACGGGGTCTCGGTAGTGTAAGGGATAAGAGCACGGTCCCGGAAAGGACAAGTACGGGTTCCAGTCCCGTCCGAGACTGGAGTTTTGCCCACAAATCGCCAACCTTGTGAGACTTTCGCTTCGCGCACTCCGGCGTTAAAACAGCAGTTAACAAAACATCAAGTCAAAACAAATGAGGTTTTCTGCACATTTTGCCTTAATACTGGGGTTTTCTCACTTTGGTATTTTATGTAAGGTAGGGTAAGGGTAGCCATAGGTGGATGTTGACAGGAGCTAATAAAACTATTGATAGCTCATGAGGGGCCACAAAAGGCAAGAGCTACTGAGTTCGCTACGCTACTTGTGGAAATACTGATTGTAGGCGTTAGGACTGGACTCTTTCCACGGAAGCCGAAGCATGCGCAAAATGAGCGTTCGACCGGAAATCCATATCTTTTTATCCGTGCAGCGTTCATATTCGGTAGGTGCAGGGGAGCAGACGGAAACACTGAAGGTAAATGGCAAGACCCAACTTTGGCCACGGAAGTGGAGTGCGCGTAGAGTGTCAAATAAGTATAAATAAGCAGTCATGATGTCATGAGTAGAGAATCAGCGGAGTAAACTAGAGCTGGACTTGAGCAAAATGGCACAATGGCGAACCATGCAGGAGTCGTTTTGGCACCAGCAAATGTTGAGAACACAACCATAGATGATAGGGCGGTGAGGCACCTTTAAAGTTGGCGGGGCCAAGACCCAAAGCCCACACTTCCTTTTGAAAACCTATCGAAAAAGGGCAAAAATTGGCCAGAAGCTCTAGAATCGGCAGTCCTATTCAGAAATGTTCCAGAATGTGCACCGTTTTCTTTTACAGCTTCAATTCCTTGAAGGCATAGTGCATTTGAACTGTAGGTGACTACATAGCAGGTTCCACTATAAAAAGTACGCCTTTTGATGCCTGAATATGTCTCATAACCAACGCCGATATGAATATCGATTGGATGTGCGTTCTACTGAATAGTCACGGCTTTGCTTCTTTCCATTTAAACCTAGTTCAAAACTGGAGGAGTGGAGGAGGTAGGAAGGGATTTGCGCTGTAACAGAGTAGGCAAATACCGTTTAGCAACAAAATAAACTTCGATTTTTCCTGTAGTTGACCGCTTATCCAAAGGTTTCCTTCTCCAAAGATAAGGTGTTCGAGTAGTATATACGAGTTGTGCTGCAGAGAATTTCTGATTTAGATTTTCTGCGTAAGTGACTATGAATGCACGGATTCGCTCTAATCCTCTTGAACATGTAACTATAAACTCCAAGTAAGAAAACTAAAGTTGATTAGGAGTTTGTTGCAGCGAACTGGGTTCAGACTAATTAGTCTGCAATAACCGTTCATTCACAGATACGCTCCCATTGGACTATAGCGTTAAGTGATATAGGAATTACGCTGTGGGTATGGTGGTCAATACACCTATTTATGTCGGCCGGTTGTTTGATTTTCCGATTGAAAACAGCTCCATTATCTTTGAATGTACAACGTCTAAACTCCGAGGAAGTCGAAAAATTGTGGCGGGAGTGTAACGGTGACTCTCACTTATACGTACTGATGGGCTCGCCTTTATTCAATTCGAGCGCTAGCAAGAAACCATCCGCTACTGTCTTTCGCAATCGCCTTCCACGGTTGTCTCAGAATCCGACAGAGATGGCGATGTGTGGAATCGTTCAGCCGCATTTGATGCCACCGAATCGCGAAGGCGAGACATTCTACGCATATCAAGCTGCATAGTCCGACTTGGCATTGAATGAGCAGGGAGAACATTGAAAGACATCGCTTTCGGTGCTCTAACCATGAAAGGATCCCAAGTCGAAGTGGCCATTTGAAATGAGATCTACACTGCTAGACGTGTTTTTGGATGCTGAGTTCAAATCCGATTTCCAAATTTGCCGAGCGTTTCTCTGAACGTGGTTATGAGGGTGGTTTCAGGAAGCTTAACATAAGAAAACTCAAATTACATGGATGAGTATCACATTTGGTCATTCAAGTGGCAAAAGTTATCCTACTGTGGATATAGAGTGAAGGGGCATGTGATACTCTACACGAAATGCTTGTAACAAAGATTTTCTCACAATGGGAGCAAGGGATGAAAAAGAACTCGGTCACAGCCTATTGCCTCACAGCTGCTAACCCCAAATCAGAAGGGAAACAGAATTGTGTAGCGTCCCCGAATCACCCCGGTGAGATTTCAAGTAGCCGGCGCCATACCATGAATAAAAGAGGAATTTCCTAGATCTAACAGCACAGAAATAAAAGTAGACGAGCGATAGAAAGCGGAAATGGAATTTCGTGTGTACACGCAAAAGCTGTGATCATGAGCCATTACATTTGAGGTGGTGCGTTTAACCATGTTCCTAAAAGGATGGTCTAAAGAGGCTTCTGTTGGCGGTATTGGCCTAGTGGAAGCCTCGAAAAGAATGCCAGTCCCTTCACCTGCCTTTTTGGAGGTAAGACGCACCGAGTAGCTTTCTGGTTTGTGAATGATATCCACGAGTCCACTGTCAACAGTGCCGGTGTTGGTGAGCTGCTGCGCACCATCGCACCCAATCCAGCACCAACACCCACTTCAGCATCATCATTGCTCGTCATATGCCCTGTTCTCGCCCGGAGCTCCAAAGTTGTGCACGGAAGAATCTCCTACTGGGTAACAGGTAGGTAGGTAGGAGAAGGCATCAGCAAGGCATCAAAACTTCATAGAACGTGATAAAATCACCATGATAGTATTTTCTAGTTCTTAAGGGAAAAATTCCATACAATGCAAAAATTCCGTCCTCCACAAAACCCGAACCCTAGTCTCCCGCACATGAAGCGTTACGCTTACCACCACACCAAGCGCCGTTGAGAACCAAGGTGCATCCATGTAATTTAAGTTTTCTTACGTTAAGCTCCCTGAAACCACCCTCATAACTACGTTCAGAGAAACGCTCGGCAAATTTGGAAATCGGATTTCAGTTCAGCGTCCAAAACACGTCCAACAGTGTAGGTCTCATTTCAACTTCGACTTTTGATCCTTCCCTGGTAAGGCTAATGCTCGGAGTTCTTGACGTGGACCCACTGGTCGTCCAAGTCTCCGACCCGTAGCAGAGCGCAGGAAAAACTGTGTAATCGAACAAAATGAGAAGAAGTTCCGGATCAGCCTGTTGGTTGGTTTCTTCTTTCAGAGCTCCGAAGGTCGCCCGCGTTGCCTCCTGCCGTCTTTCAATTCTTCCTTCATGTGCTTGCATATGTCCGTTTAACGCCCGAGATAAACGTAGGACGAGGTTTTATTCATAGGTGTGTCATAAATCTTTATTCGGCTTTCGCCAGCTCAACCATCCTTCATGAACTGCGTCTTTGTTTGTCTGATCTAAAGCCTCACCTTCTTTCCTGCTCTATTGAGTTCTGCAAACATAGTCTCAGCTTCCGCAACGCTGCCTGAAAAGAAAACAATGATATCTACAAAGAATGCCCCTTCCATCTCATTCTAGCGACTCCATAACCCACCGCGGCTGTGAACAGCTTCGGCAAAATAGTGTTGCCCTGCCTCACGCCTTTCCCAATTAGAGGTCCTCGCAACAGCTTCTCCGTAGCGCTACAGCGACTGCTGCAGTCAACAATTTTTTCTTATATGTGGGGGGGGGGGGGCACCCCTTCGTCTACCACTGCTGACAGGACCGAATTCGTTTAGACACTGTCGGGAGCTTTTTCATAGTTAACAAAGGTGAGGACAAGGAGCATTCGGAGCTCTCGGCATACTTCGATAACCATTGCGACCGCATGGATGCGACCTAAGCAGCTCAATCCCTTTCGGAATCCGATCTGTTCAGCAGGTTGAGCGTCATGCAACGATGTGCGGCTTGACATGAGCTTCGTTAACAGCTTGTAAAGAGCACTCACAAGCTTGTCGGGCGGTAGTTGCGAACAACATCTCGGTCTCCTTTATTGTTAAAAATGACCAACAGCGAGTTCCTCATGGTTGGAAATTTCCTGTCTAAAGGCAAGGCATCATGTGTGTTGAAAACAGCGCATAAAGTTCGTGACCATCTGCACAGAGAAGGCCGGCTGAGATATTGTCGGAGCCTGAGGTAGTGCCCCTTTTCATGCTTACTGCCGCCTCCAAATAAATTATCTGAGGTGCTGTCCCCCCGGTGAGGATTTCTGATATCTCGCGCGTGTCGTGGATCGGTGCAGGTTGGTATAAGACCTCTGTGTAACTTTCTTCGTCTCAATTTCTAACGTAGTGATAGTTCAGCCCCCCCCCCCTTTGCAATCATGAAAGTAAAATTCTGTAGTTCCCGATGGCATTTCCTCAGACTAGTTCTGTTCACGGCTGCCTCCAGTAATCTCCTTTCCCTGTATAGCTAAAGATCTCGCCGCACTGCTTGTCTGCAGCTGATAGTTGCTTGCAGCCTTTTAAGACGTGTGGCGTTTTCGTCAAGAGTTCATTTTCATATCCTCCTTAGTAGATCCCTGAATGCCTCTGCTCGCAACTGGAATGCGAGTAGAGGCATTTATTCGAGGAAGCTTATCCTGTCTAGCACATGTGAGGAGACCCTGAACCAGCGCGTTGTAGTCTTCAGCCGGGTCATACATGACCTCCAACTCATATCGGAACAAAACGTCGTCCAGAACCTCTCCGCCGTGAACAACCTCTTCGAGCTATCTTCGCGATGTTGGAGATCTTCCCCAGCTTGTGAATGAATCTGATATGAACGCGAAGAGGTCGGTGATCCACAGCAGAAAGATTGGGTCTCCTCAACATCCAGTCAGCCCCACTTTCCCTTTGCTAATACGTGGTAGAGATCAGCCTGAGTTGTGACATTAAGAGACTCCCGTGTCTGGCGACGATGTTCCTTTTTCTGGAAAAGGTGTTGCTAGTAGCCCAGCGACGGACAAAATCTTGCCAGATGGGTCTCGTTCTCTTTCCTCTCTTCCATTCCAAACTTTCTAATTCTGTCAATCCTGCACACCTCCTTTGTGTCAAAAATCTAACAATGAACTTGAACTATCACAGTATGATCGCAGTACATTCGACCACATCCACACTGACACAAGGCTCACTTAAGCATCGAGATAATATTGGATGCAATCATGTCCGACATTCTGAGTTGAATAAGGCCTGAGGGAGACCTTCGATACTGTTGGGACAGGAGCGGTGGTTAAAGCCTTAGGCAAACAGACATTCGTATCATTAAACAAAGATGCTTCGTAAGTTCTGCGACAACTTTACTACAAGGAATTCGATATTCATTAAAGTGGTCATCAACGGGAAGAGAAGGGTTTGGCATAGCGATATTTTCTCGCACGTAGTTTCTAGTGTTCTTGCAAACATCATACATTATTTGGGACTCCTAGGAGTTAGAGTAGCCCAGCTGAAGACTGCTACTTACACCTTCTCCGCTATGCAGACGTCGTCGTGCTTATAACACCAAACGTCAATCAAGCAGAGCGGATGCCGGCACACCTGTGAAAAAGGGCTTTCCACCATATAACGTCCGATGCGATCCTGAATCTCCAGTGGATGCATGCGCCAGTTGGTGGAGGCGGACCCGCTCCAAAGTAAGTGTGACCTAGCGCAAGGCTTAGGTGTTCACTTTATCACCATCGCTGAGCACTTCCATCAGTTGTGTGGGGGGGGGCTCAATTTGGCGCAGTGGTTACCTCATGATCGTTAGCGACGTACCGAGGNCCAAAGTAAGTGTGACCTAGCGCAAGGCTTAGGTGTTCACTTTATCACCATCGCTGAGCACTTCCATCAGTTGTGTGGGGGGGGGGCTCAATTTGGCGCAGTGGTTACCTCATGATCGTTAGCGACGTACCGAGGTGGCTTCCATTACTATTTGGTGTCACGCAATAGCACCCTTACGACAGACTTGTACTGCCACCAGCTGGATAAATCACCGTCGAATTGCAAAAAAACGTCTTGATCATGGCTTGGTCCGATGAAAGCACGACACACCCGGCCCCCACGCAAGTATGACTGGACAGAGGCTACTCGACTTTGGTTAAGGCGTGCTACCACACCCACTGTACAGTACAGACCTTGCGCTTGCGCCTGCGATGTTCCTCGATTTGCGGAAACCTCCCCGACAACTTAATGAATGTTGAATAAAAACAGCCACTGACGCCGTCGGTATAAATTATCACTTCTGCCCTAGGAACATACATGTAGTCACAGAAAATGAATTCAAACTCCCCAATGGTCATGCTGTAAAAGGCTACCGAACGAGATCGACCATGATTACGTAGAAGTATTAGGTGCACATCTTATACCTATAAATTTTGTCAGAAAATAGGAATAGGCGTTGTGTTACAGCAATGATATAGACTGAGACCTCTTGGTTTTTTGTGGAAGCTAGAAAATAGTTATTGAGTTGGAGCACAAGCGGCGTTCACCCGTGAAAGAATCATTTCATTAAGTGCGATCTAACGGCGAAAACCGTTAAAAAACATATCTGTTCGTAAGAACTCGGGAATCAGGAATGTATTGAGTTAAAGCTAGAAAAACGCTCATTTCACTCTAGAATTTACTCTTCGGCTCCGAACCAACACCACTTTTCGATGTGTTTTGACAGAAGTGATCACTCACCAAGGCCGAGGATGTGTGCAAACAGTGCCATATACAGAATTAACCAATTACGTTATCAAGCGACCTTCGTGTGTTTATGTTTCACAGATATCGAAAAATTTATAGATATTCTACTGATGGAGATAGTGCAGTCAGAAAAAGGCAGAGTGCACTACTGCCAATAAAAATCCAGTTTTGCAGACCTTACAATTATTGCCGTGGTACACGATGTGGATTGGAATCGGTAAATGGAGACTTGATGAAAACTAAGCTCT